CGATAAATGGCTACCCCGTTACTCCTGTTTACCAAAAATATCATCTCAATCTGGTATAAGACAAAAAGTCACAAAACTACTTTTAATATCAAAAAGACCTGAGCATTGCACCATAGGACTACTCCCAGACACGAGTGTTTTTTCAGACGTTCAAATTTTTCCAATGTTCTGTTACCTTAGCAATTAGACTGTTATTTCAATCAGAGAAACCACTAACAGAGCGCTTTTGTTTAAAATTGTTGTTTTTACAGATCTAAGGAAGATGTTTTTCTCTCACGAGAGAATCACATAAAGTGGGCGCGGCTCTCCGGCCGGTCCCTCGTAAAGGAGTGACTTGTGTTATTCCATCTATTTCTAGACGAGTCAAAGCATTAAAAATCTGTTGAACAGAATACTTTATTTTCCTTAGAAATGTCAAAGCTTTGAGGTAAGGAGATAAGTTTTAGCCAGTAAAAATCCCTGAAAGTCCAATGATTTACACCACAGAGGGTAAACATGTAGCTTCTCAGCTGTGCCGGCGTTTCCTATTTTTCAAGAGGGGGTTTGTTTTTCTGCCCATTGAGGCAAAACAACGAGCCTGTTCTTGCACGTTTCCATGTCTTAGCGTGCTCTGTGTCAAAATCATTTGTCATTATTTCGTGCCCCTTTATGTTACAGGATTCGAAACGCATAGTTCCACCAAAGAATCGATGCCGAGAGAGAATGTTAGACAGTCTTAGGAGCGTGACTCGCTCGCTATCAGTTACGCAACGTTGCACCACTTTTTGGAACAAAACGTGACTTAAGCGTCTCAATGAAATTCATTCAGCTCCACAGCTGCGCAAATTGAGCGCTTGTAAGGACTAAACCTCCCTTAAGGCACGAATGATACGTGCTCCTTTATCAATGATTCGTGGACAGAAGTGTGCCAGATTGCAAAGCTGTATTTCGAGTCCACACTACTGCATGATCTTCTCTTAATCACACTCAAACCAAAAACAATTTACCTCTCAAATTGATCACAAGGCACACCGCCGTTGCTTTCAGCCACGCTTCACGGTTCAACTTACACAACGTGCTGCAAGCATTTTCATTTTTACACAAGCACCTTTAAGAAATTCTTAAGTGCACATACCTCGACTGGTTACCCACAGAGAACGGTTCAACTACCAAGGTCTGCTTACAGCCTTCTTGCCACACACCTGCCTTCGATTTCACCTCAATTCTTCCCGCGTTGACCGGATAACTCGTGACAGTCAATATAACCTCGCTTTCGTGCTAATATTATATTACCAGTGTAACTGTAGTGCCAATCTAAACCTGAGTAACATTGAAGAACTAACCTAGCCTTGTACAAGTATCACATCATGACAGTGATCGTAGGCCTTCTGGAAGCTCGGCAGTACTTCATATGCTTTTGTACTGGTTTTACCTCGCCGAGTACCAAATTTTTACACTTTGATTTAACTGTAAGTGTACCCTTTTCTTGTATCTACAATTAGTGGCAACTGTACTTGGCACGCCTCCTCTTAGTAAATGGTCGCCCATCCTCCACTCTACAAAATAAACATAATAAATCTTGTAATTCACCTCTAATAACTTATTTGAAAGTTTTCTCTTTCCCACTAAACAATGTTGTTTGAAATTAGCGGGCATTTTTTCAACAACAAGCAACATTGGAATGGAGGAAAAGAATGAGAGTTATAAAAAAAAACAAAAATCGTAAAGCGTTCCGAGACTTTTTCCAGTCATTGTAGAATGAACGAGAACTACATCCTTGACTTGTTTTATCTTGAAATGACAAAAATGGATGTGGCTCATAATGTAGAGACTGCACCTCACTTTTCTTTCGGGTGATTCCTAAAATATTACACTGCATCAAATGAAAGAGCCTTGCAAAAATCAATTACTAGTTTTTCTCAGCTTTTCCTTCACAACTACTTGTTGAACTCGACTCTTCATGCCCTTCAAGCCCGAAGAGCTATCTGTGCTAGGCACAGTATCCTCGTACAATCAAGGCTTCCAGGAAAATAACCACAGATTCTAGAACTTTTGAAGGTTTTACTGTCCGAAAAAAGTATTATTGTCTACGCCCTGTTACATTTCATCTATAATTATCTCTAAAAAGGGATGTAGAAGAGAGTAATCTTGGCTTATTACTTTCCCTCAATCATGTTTTCCTATTTTCCCGCAATACAATCTACAATACCAATTTACGGAGACTGCGACCAAGTGAGATCTCGAGATGAACTTATAAAGTCGTTCCCAGAACCAACCCTCTTTTAAGGAATTTGGGAAGCTGGGAACGAGCACTTTCCCGGGGAAAAATTTACGTTTCACCGACACTTGTGATATTGATTGTTGTCATGGGGACCTGCCTTGCCCACAAAGGCGACGATCTAACATGACGATTGCAGAAGTGTTGTTTAGTAACATAACGTCATCGGCTTCATAGGTGTTGTCAAAGGTTTAGTTCCTCTACTATCTAGGCTGAGTAAATTCTCGCCCTTTGAGCTAAGTAAAACAGAATGAATTGTGCCTTCTTTTTGCGAATCTTGCTCAAGAAACTGTTCTTATTCAAACCAGCGATAGAAAATATTTTTAACGAGTTATCAGTTAACAAGACTAACGCTAACTAGAAGATGATCAAATAAAATTTAATGACTTTCTGTAGTTCCTTGCTGAAAAATTTCAAGACATCTTTCACAATTCACAAGACATCTTCGTAAATTTAAAATTTCAAGACACAATCCTAAATTTTCTCAACTGAGAGGGATAGTTTGCTTTCAAAGTCCTTTTTGTTTTGCGTATGCAAAAAAAAAACAACTGGACGCCCTTTTGTTCTAAGTTTCGCAACATCTCACGGTTTCCTGCGGTGTACAGTGAGCAATGTTTGATGTAAAATAAATTAGATTAATCAGGCCTTTGCGAAATCTTCAAAACCCTAGGCAGAATTCAATTTCTTTTCTCCAGTTAAAACCCGAGAATCATCAGATCAGCGAAGGTTATTTCATCAGTGTGTTTGCTCCGTGTTCACAATTTCGTGCAAAAGAATGAAAAATACTTCACGGCGAAATGTTATTTATGCTGAACTAAATCCTCGGTTTAAAGAGAATATGTAAAGCACCTTTTAAAGAATGGGACAAAAAGATTTAATTCTAGGTCCAGTGAGTTAATTCAAGGTGAGCGACACGCGTTCGTGTTGACGGGACACTTTACACTTCTTATTAACCTAGCAGCAGGAGACCATGAACAGTCAGAATTCACACAATTATCACAAGCACAACTCATAAATTAGCAAAAACAAAACTTGTATTGCTGCCAGACGCGCTTGTTGTTCTTTTATAATTGTTCTGATTCAATTTTCAACTCAATTGATCGACACAAGCTTGTACCGAAAGCCACCAACTGTTCTATACAGCGTATAAGTTAATAGCTGTTTTTGGATTCAAATTGATCTGTCTTGAGTGAACCGAAAAAGCTTTCAAAGAAATCTTCCTTTCTTGTGGCATTCTAGAAAAACAAAGCTTTTAACTTCTCATGTAAGATTCTTTCTTAAAACAAAGCAATCCATGCACACTTAAAAGAGTAAATTCGCTAATTGTTAGAATTTATCTTTGTTTTTGAATGATACTTTCTGTGTCCAAATCTCTCGCTTACTGATAAAATTTCCTCGCATCTGTAAATTCCTTCTTTATTAAGAGACACTTTTAAAGATAGAATGTGTTAAAAATCAGTACCTTTGCTTGTAAACTGCCTACTATCTTATGTTATTCAGAATTGTGCAATCAGCCTCTTAAAATTTTAATGAGAAGGAAAGAAAATTGAATTAGGTCGGGTAGCCCTTATCTCGATTGCTCGTAATTTTGTTTAGAATTTTCAGCAAAGAATACGCGACAGTTCACGATAGAATTGAGTAAAAACAGACGTAGTCGATTCAATAAGTATCTATAAGATAGAGAACTTCATCTTCTCCGCTAGTCTTTTACATACTTTCAAACACGTACACCGGTTGACCGCAAAAGTTACAATTATATCTCATAGAATCAGTTGTAGTAAATTTTATGTTAACTCGTTGCATGTTTACGGATAGTCGATTATGAATCAATGTTTGCCACGAATTCACTTGTATGTACAACAGTAAAAAAGGGTTAGTTTGTGTATTTTGGCAGGTTTCAAAAGAAAGAGTGAAAATCTATATTGACACAAATCGCGGTAAATTTTGTATTAAAAATTTGCCCTCTGCAGCAAAATTGCTCTTTCAACTCCAAGCGCTTATCGACTCTACAATTATTTCAGACGTAGATTAACAACTCAATGATATCGCAGATGCTCACATATTCATTCTCTAAGAAAACAAGCTAACAGTGAACTTGAAACTCAGCTCCTTTTGTCGGTGGCTTCTTTGCTTTTGGTGACATTGGTTAAAGCTGAAATTAACACGGGACGCCAAGCATACAAAATGAGTTTCCCGTGGGGAATTTAATTGCCGTGATGTGATAACCTTTTAGTACCTCCCATAACAATTTTGGGAAGTTCCAATTATTGTAATGTATTCAACACAATCACTGGCGCTTAATAATACAACACAAGCCCTTGGCGGGTGGCATTTTGACTACAATGAGCAGGGAAGCTCTAAAGCACGCGCGGGTCCTTTTATCTATCAATTCACCCCTCACAGAGACCAATTTTTGTCGCGTGGAGACCCTAATAAACTCTGAACAGTTAATCAAGTGTAGTACACTTCAAACAATAGAGAACGGACAGGATTTTCAAAGCAAGTTTCCGGTACTTCACTCATTCAATTACTCCGCAACACGAAATTCACCTGCCAGCGCTTATTCAACGGAATGAAACAAAGGAAGAACTGGAATTATTTCAGCGACGTTTAGCTGTATCAAATCTTTGGAAGAAGTGATAGTTAAACACGAGATGTTAATTACAAAAGGGATTTAACCAGCTAAAGAAAAGAAGATAGATGTACATTAATTCTAAGGCATAAAAACGTAGGCGACAAAAGATAATTTCTGACATGTGTTTATTTATTTGACTTCAATGTACATGTTATGCCATTACTGATAATGTTAACAAAATTAGGTGTGAAAACATTGTTAAAAATTTCACTTATATTGCCTGGTTATAGCTACTACCCTTCGTGTGAGTAGATATTATTTCTTCACGCGAAATCTTCGCTTTCGTCGCTATTAAAATTGTGCTTAAGTAATATAAAAAGGACAACAAAGGAAAAAATTTGGACGAAGTTTGAGCAATTGGTTTGAATTTCTATACAAGCGAATCTTTTGCAATTCAAGTCAGCATTGACAAGGTTGGTAAACTCAGTTTTAGCCTGTCGCTCTCTAAGTTTCAATAATTACTGCTGATCTTGTTAAGATGAAGTGCAAATATTTAATTTTTTTACAAATTGCTACACGCATTCTCCCTCGCGCGAGTTAAAATTACGAAGCAATCACCTAAAAAACCTTAAAGATTTTAAGCTTTCGCGGAATCGCGTTTAATAAAGTCTGGAAAAGTTCATATGTTTCCTCTCCTAAGTGTTCTTAGTGAGCTTCTTCAACGTGCTCTTTTAAATCAATCTTTTTTGAAAATCGCTTTCTACAGGTTCGACAGTGGTAAGGCAAGTTGTCAGAATGGGTATGCATATGAAACTTTAGATTAGACATCTTGTTGAAAGCGCGATTACACTGGTTGCATCGAAATGGCTTCTCTCCCGTGTGAATCATAATATGGTTTCGCAAATTTCCCTTTTGATGAAATCCTTTCCCGCAAATGTCGCAGATGAAGGCCTTCTTGTCGCTGTGTGTTCGGAGATGAGTCTTAAGTGTGGAAGAGCGGTTAAAACTCTTTCCACACTCATCGCATTTATGCGGTTTTTTCTCTGTGTGAATGATCTTGTGCCTGCACAAGGTGCTGGACAGACGGAAACCTTTTCCGCAAACGTTGCAAACAAATGGCCGACTCTGAGTATGATCTGGCATTTTTAAGTGAATGGACAAGGTGTATTTGGTCTTAAAAATTTTGCCACACTGATTGCATTTATGGATGGCCTTGTCTGAGCGACTCTTAGCGCCTGTATCATTAAGTTCATTTGCTTTATTCACATGGGAACTTTTTTTGAGCGCTGAACCAGACACCCGCTTGGCTTCGTCCGAGGACGAGTCAATGTTCTTGTTGAAGTCTTTGGCGAATGCGTTGGTTTTCTCCTCCAGTGCTTCATTTTCCCGAAAAATTCCTTGCCCGGCATAACAAGAGATTTCCTGAAGATTGCTTTTTTGAGCATTTTGGCCCGACATTTTCTTTCCATTATTAATGAAACCATTTGCAAACCTTAGAATCTTTCCAATATCATTCACTCGCCCATCAATTCGGACATCGGCTGGGTAAGATGATTTCTTTTTCTTTTGAAACGCTTTTTTGCTTCGCCTGACATCTGAATAATCCTCACTAGCGGCTTTCTCCTCCTCTGTGAATTAAAAATACAACATAAATGATACTTCAGTTAAAATCTTAAAATGAACACACGGCTACAACACGAAAGTGGCTGTCTGACGTGTTTACATAGAGACGCTTTTATTTTGAGACATTTCGAATTAAGGCACTCTAGCAAATACTTATAAAAGATTTTGATTCAAAGGAAACAAAAAACTAACCGTACTGAACGGAAGAAAGTTTTCTCTCGCCGAAATAATTGCCGTCATCGAAATTTCTCTTTAGCAGAAAGGCTCTTGGCATCGTAGCAAGAATTTGTAGTGTGGATATTATCTGTCAAAGTTACGACACTGCCAAACACGATTTTCCTAAGCAAGAAAATTTCCCGCGATTTAAGCGCCGATCCACAGCCAAGCTGCACTGTGTATAACTGAATGAGTTGCTTTTGTATTCTTTCATTTTATAGCAACTTTGTGAGCGCGTAATCTTTTAACAACTCTATGTCATGGGGACTGAAGATAGATCTGGCATTGTTTTGAGTTCGGATGATGCGGTTTCCAACCAATCAAAAACCGTCAGGTCTGGAAACCTGCAAACATATTGAATAATTTATAAACTGCACATATGAAAATAACTCTGCAACACCTGCCACTTGTGGGCTTTAATTTTTAGGCTCTTATCGGTAAATCCGCAAACAAATTCTCCTTGCGCATAATGGATCGTATTTTCACGCGCCAAAACCGCTAAAAGAAAAATTCTGATTGCCCACATTTTTCATGGGAAGAAGCAGTCGGTCTTAACTAGTTTCGGAAAAGACGATCACAGCAACCTATTGAGTCGCAATAAAAATGCAAATACTAAAGCATTTTCTCTTGGAAATATTTATTTTCCCCTCGCTAGGGTGTAATAAGTGCTGTTAAAAGCATTGGGCCCGCCTATTGGACAGACTAGCATAATAGGTCTAGCTAACTTTATTACAGTTCGCTGTTAGTGGCCTTTTGTGTGGAAATCTTTTCTTGTCATTTCAATGGCATTTACGAGCCGCCTTCGCGTCAGAAAATTCATCCCATCTTTTTCCATCGTAGAAGATGATATTTCTAAACGTCTTCTATCTATCTTCGACCCATTTTCCACGTTAATGTCGCTGCTTGGGAGAGTGGCTCTCGTATGCATAGAAAGATATATTTAGAGGAGCACGTCCACACTCCTTTTAATGAACACCACACACGACCCATGATATCGATTGAACATTTGTTTATTTTTCGCATAATGGTCGGTCGCCAGTTTGTCTCCAAATACTCAATAACCCTTCCACCATTGTTTTCGTTTCTGCATGCTTCTAAGACAAAAGAGATTTATGCGGTGTAAATCTAACATTGTTAGCGGTGAAATTCCTGCTGTGTTATTATTCCTTCTAACTAACTTGAAACTGCGAGTGGTAATAATACAGAATAACCTTATTTTCAGATTTTAAAGGTAACTTTCTCTATTCGATTAGGTTGGCTTGAATTTCTCTCCTATTTCTATTTTTCCGAAGCAAAACTGTGAACTTAAGTTAAAGTTAATTTTATGCAGTGTAATTAAACCTTGCAGTTCATTTTGAGTTTGAATCAAATTGAATATCGAAAGCTGCGGATGGTTGAAACAGGAAAATTGTTGACTTCAAAATTCTGTCTCAAATTATCTAGAGAACACAAGATTTCGATATTCAGTTTAAAAGTATCGTATTAGTACTTTGGGAAGAAACATTTATTGGCAGTAAAAGAGAAATATCAGATTTCAAAACGAAAAGGATATGTCAGATCCATATCGATAAGAAAATGCATTTCAAAGCAAGACAAAAAGTATAAATTAGAATTTTCATTCCATAATCGAGAGGACCTACTTACGTGTTAATATAATTTCCGCGGTTTAAAACTGGAAATCTAACGCCTTGTGAATGCAAACTCTTTTATAAGGATTAATTAAATTTTAAAATTTTTCTTGAATCTTAAGGAGTTAAAATTCTCTGGGCTTACTACATTTGTAATCACCCACAATATTTAAGATTCTCGTCGCTCTCGTCTGCTCGAGTTTTTTTCTTTTGAAACAAAAACCGTGAATTCAATTCAGCAAAGACAAAAAAGCTGCCTTTTTGAGGCGTGTTTGACAAAGTTGAGTTAATTCAAACAATATTTCGTATTCCGTTTAGCTTCCAGTTAAATTCAATATCCCCGCTGAAGCTAGTCCGTAATAAAAACGTTTAAGAATGAGCCAGTAATTGAAAGACAACGTACCTAATAATGATTAACATTACCACTTCTCAAACCTTTATCATTTTCGCGCTTGACTGTGAATCATGTACGCCGTAAAATGTTTGAATAGAAAATCATTTCAAAGGCTTGTTAATTAGGACGTGTTAAGTATTCAGATGTCTGTCACCATTTCTCTTTCAGTCAGATATCACTTGATATTCATAGTTATCTTCTGAAACTCTATCTGTTGGTGCACGATAGGAAAATATTGCATAGACAAAAAAAATACGCTTATCTTGTAGTCTCGGTATATTTCCACCGTGTGTTTGAAAATTATTCTGACAAAAACCAAACATGACAAGTTTAAAATTTTATCTGAAAAACACAGTTTCCGTTTGTCTAAGCTATAACTTGAGCATAAAACAGGTGTCTTTGACATCTCAGCATATATTACCGACAACAAAAATAAGCAAATTTTTAACTGATGGCCTTTTAAACGTGAGCTCTCTCAGGTTTAAGAAACATTTTGTGCGAGATTTCTGGAGAAATTCGAGGACTTAATGAATATAAGCTTAAAAATTTCATCAACAATTTCGGAAAAATGCTTTACGGAAAATGTTCTCCGGCAAACAAGCCTTGGCCTGTGCCGACCAAACTTGCATTTCCTTGGAACATGTAATTTTCCGGTTTGTAAGCAAACTTGTCATGACTCTTGCTCATTTTCGAGGACATAGTGCGCTTCTTCATCAAATGGTTAACATGTGTAGAGGCAAAACTGAGGACGTGAGAGTTTTTGTAAGAGATATTTTAATTTTTATGATGGGAAAAGCATTTAATGTAATAATACCTGTGACAGATGATTTGAAAACAGCCATTTTAAGGATATCCGATATATCTATTTATTTTATGATGAAAAGCCTCAGAATTACATTCAGATTTCGCGTAAAAAAGCGAATGAAACCCGACAAACGAGGCCGTAAATCGCCATACACGTTTAAAGAAAAAAGTTCGCTTTGCATCTATCCAGCGTGAGATCCTTCTTGAAGACACATGGTGCGGATCCATAGAGTTGGCTGAAAATAATTCAAACGCTCACAGCACGTGTTTTCAAAGTCCTTTGTTTAAAGTTTTCTCTACTCTTTGACAGTTTTTTTTAAACTTAGAAAGTGCTTTTTAAAGACAAAGGCATGCTACTTATTCCTCTAGTCTCACAACTTTTCATAATTGCCGTCGTGGAAACTAATTTTGGGAACCAGTTTCGCATTGCGTAAATTGTTTGAATAATGAATTATTCCTGTTCAAGGCACAGTTAACAATAAGTCAATCGAGTTCAGAGCTTTCAGTGATGCGAATCTTATTTAAATAATCAGGAGAAAAAAATTCGTTATATAGTTTCATCGAGACCGGAGAGCCTTTTAATTTTACTACAAAATTAGTTAAAATGATGCTTGGGGCTGGTCTGTTCCTCTGTCAATGATTAATTTATTTCATGATACCCTGAGCACATGGAGATTTGCAAATTAGATTCTAAAATAAAGATTCATTCATTAATGTGCATCAATTTTCCTTTTTTTTTCTTATAAGTGTAGTTGGACATTCCTGATTGCTATAACTGTGGTCTTTGCTTTGCTCATGAAACTCGGAACTTTTGCCAACTTCACCCAAAACCTAAATTAAAGAAAGCATCGATTTCTTGTATCATAGAACAGTCGTGTTATCTGATAACGTGTGAGTAAACGACTGGAGACGCAATGCTTGGGCTAGTGTTCAAATAGACGTCCCATGTAAACAGAATGGTTTAGCAGTATGACAAAAGCCTTAAGGTTCTCACATTCTCTGCAGTTATTTTTATCTAAAGCCCGAGCTCGTTAACGACAGCCAGACTTTCCTGTTTTATATCCCAACGAAACAGGACACACGATTAATGAGGCAATTCTAATGGGCTGATGTAAACCTTAGGGCAGCAATTGCCAACCCACTTATAAAACAAACATGACTGATGATAATAATTATAACCACTCTGATGATAATGACCACGAGTGAAGTCGAATTAGGATTCTAATGCTTCGAAATGTAAAATTTTTGAGTGAAATTAATCGACTGTGAAATGGATGGCGAATTTTCAAGTTTTACTGTCACGGAATAAAAGCGATAGACGTCTACTCCAACATGACCACCACGAGATTAAAGTTTGGCAAGGCAAGCTTAATAAGTTTTGTAATTTCAATTATGCATTTATTTCGTTGCGCGGTTTCTTTAAAGTGTTCGGTATCGAGAAAATGAAAAAAAGACCATCTCCCCCAAGGATTTTTGATAAATGATGAAAATGAAAAGATGGAATTTCAGCCAATGCGCGCTTTTCATTTTCGATCGGTCTCCAGTCCTCCAACTACTGAAAAATGACGTGTTGTAGCCTAGACTCCAGTTCTTCGAAGAATATGATCCATCATGGCGGTTGTCCACTTCCTTGGGAGAGACAATTTTTCATCTCGCGTCCAGGACAAGTTGTGGGAGATTTGAAGGGGAAATGAAATGGAAGGGAGTAAGTCAGATAAATTAAGAACACCAGAAAAGAGTGCCTTTACCAAACTTCAATCTCCAGACGGGAATAAGTCGGTAGGTTTGTAGTTATTTTTGTTTGAATTTTACGTCACTCAGAATTGAAGCTGAACGTAAATACGATATCCGTGGTTCTCTCGTGTAGAAAAGGGAAATTGCCAATTTGCAACGCAGATTTAAAATTATCGTTTCTGGTCTTCCATTATAGTCCTAAGTCAACTTATATGCTGCTATTTTAAAAAAACATTGGCCTTGTTTGCAGTAGCTATAATGCGCTAGTAATTCCTTCTAAATAGCTAGTATTTAAGAGGATTATAAATATAAAAGCTAACTCTTGAATTTGAGAATTAAATATCGTAGTTGCATTTGGTTTTTCGTGTATGTTGTATCACAGTCACGGCTACTTTGTTCAGAAGGGTTGTCCTTTCCTCTAGCTGTTCACCAGGAACTTAAGTTCAAAAAAAATCTTTCAATATTTATATTTAGCTTGTCGTTTCACCATGGTATTTTTGCTGTCAAAGTTATTGATATGGAGCTAAGAAATGACTTAATGATGTATGACATGCTCAAGTTTATCAAAAAATTTTGACAATCAAGTATTTGACTATTTTGCCACCAACTCAGAGGAATTTGCAAAAGAGTTGCTTGCTAATAACAGGAATCACATGGACAGTTATTTTATTTTCCCATAATTAAACAGCAAGAGAGACACTGCTGTATATTGAAAATCAGAAAACATCCTCAGAAATTCAGTCAGAAATGAAAACTGTGGAAAGCTATATGGAAAAGAAATTTCATCAAAAGGATTGGACCACCTGAAACTGGATTTGACAATAAACTTACAGAGGTCTTTAACCCTTTCAGTAATTCCCATATGTGACTGAGACAGAATTTCCCTATAGAATAGACATCACAAAATCAAGTAAACAAATAATGTTAAGAGTAAAGGATATTATCATGTAGGGAATTATTAGTTAATCCAATACCAAGTTCTCAGGACTAATATGTTCATGCACTGATACTGTAATTTCTGAACATGAAAAGTTTTGAGCTAATTAAAAATGCAAGGGACTGTGTAGAAAGGACAGGAATAAAACAATTTCAGTTAACAGTTTTGATTTTTTTTGTTTATTAATTTTTTATGTTTAGAAATCAGCAATAGCAGAGGTCAGCTCAACTGCAATTGTGAAGTACTCTGCCCAGGAAGTCTTACCTTACTATAACAAATTGCAGCAGGTAAAAAAAATAGTCTTTAGAATCATTACTTTAGTGAATAGTGTCTAACAAACAGCCTACTCTTGTCACTCCACCAAAAAGTGCCTTTGTGGCAAATATTTTACAGGAGCACCTTTAAAGTTATGAAATTTTTTGTTGTTGGTAATTGATTATTAATAAACCGTATTCACAACTCATAGTTGTGAGAATTTGGTGTTAAGTCCAGATAACAACTTCTACCTGATAAGTTGGAGTATTCTCATTACCTGTATGGTTGTATAGGGAGAAGTTACATGTTAATCACTTCTGGGGTTTAAAGGGTTAACTCTGATAATGATTTCTTTAGAGGTCGTCAAATATTATTCAAATTTGAACAGTAGTCCTATTTAGGAAAAGCCTCACCCAGACAAATGCTATAGATAACAGTTTCAGATTGCTGGTAGTCATCACACTTGATGGGAATGGAGAGGGTGAATTTGTAATTATATGTCTGAAGAAACTTCCACTGGCCGTAACTGATTGCAGAATTTTTACTGTTAGGATACAAACCTCAATGTTGCCCCTTCAAATTGGCTGCGAGATGGAAGGTTTTCTGATCTCAGTTTTCTCAAAAGGGACCCTGTTGAGTTTACAAGGTAATCAATCTTTTTTCATTAGAAACTTATTTTATATATGAATTAATTTTACAATTAGGGACTTCTGTTGTTATTGCATTTTAATGATTGGTAATATCCACTAAAAGTACATATTTAAGTTTTAACTTTTCAATGTGCTTGTGCATGACTTTTTTTGATACTGTGGGAGATTTTTGAAAGTTTCTTTGAAAAATTAGGGTGACAAATGCAACTGTAAACCTTATGACATGTTGAAACAAAATAGCTCTCAAGGTGAGGAGTGTTATGAGGTACCAGCATGTTGCCATGCAAAGTCACATAAATGATAATAGAATTTCCAGAATTGATGCTATGGGCCAGCATCTTATTTTCAAATAGAAGCACTGCTTAAAAATCTTTTTGTCATACAATGTTGTAGACAGAAAAAGCCCTTGATATTAGCTTGGTACTGATCCCCATCACAGATTCTCAAAAAGTATGGATTGTTTTTTTTTAAGAACCTACTAACAACTGTATAAAAATTTCTTTTGGAGCTTGCATCATGGCCAAGAATGTTTCCTTCAGTTTCATTTCAGACTTTCTTTATCCTCTGTCCTAACATTTGATTTTACTTTTGCATTTTGATCATATTTTATTTTTACAGTGCAACTGTGAAAATACATTATCAAACATTGTCTAAAGAATGTGGGTGGTTTAGCTGGAAATGT